AAAAATATCAATGAAAATAAATTGCATTGAATGTTGACCGTGAAAATTTTTATACAGAAAAAAGGAAACTTTTTGTCCAAAAAAATTATCACTTGCTTACACGTGTTGGTTTAGTTAGTCGTTAATGCGCTTTCGGGTGAATTGTGCACATCGATTTGAAACCAAATTGTCAATCAAGTCATTACGACCAACTACTCAAACGCCAAATTAACTAGTGTACGGACATCGCACTTCCAAGACCGATTTTCACTAAATGTTTGGGCAGAATCATTGAAGATCACCAAATTGGACCCCACATATAACACCAACGTAATTATCTGGATTTTTTGGAAAATGTGTTGTCGCCAATGACCACCGCTGTCACCAGATTTAAATACCTTTGTTTTTTGGGGGGTTCACATGAAACAATTAGTGAATTAGTGTACGCAGCTCAAATTTATACCTTCGAAGGGCCGTGTGTGCGAACGCAAGCTTCCTTAGCCCGAAGAGTACAAGAAGTGTGCATTGCCAACGAATGACCATATTTCGAGCAATTTTTTATAATAGCAAATACTGATCCATTAACATTGACACTGATCTCCCCTAATGAAGCGATAATTTTTTTGTCTTTACGCTGTTTACGTTCCAAAGTAAACATCGTATTAAAACATAGGCGGGGACGGGTTTTCAGCCTCAATTTATTTTTAATTTTAACTCAGAAATGACGTGCTTGCGACATAAGTTGGAATTCTTTTGACAAGTCCTATTAGTGGTTAAAATATTTGCTCGCAATCCTCAAACACCCTGTATAATCAAAGCATCATCAAAATTCAAATGAAATTACTTCTTTTCAAACTTTGCATCATTTTTAAAGCTCCCGTTTTCATATTCTAAAGCTATTGTTATTCCTAAGCCTCCAATCTAGCCAAGTTTGAAGAGGAAATATCATTCTGATTTGTTTCTTTGCCTCATTAGCGTCATCCTTGAGTTAAAAGTCTCCGATATTACGACTTGTCTCTAATAAAGCCGCAAAAATTTAATACAAAGTCAAATAACAACGTCGGTAAACGTAAAAGCAAATAATTGCAATTAATAGTAAAATCCGACTGTCGAGCAAAAAACAGGTCAAGTTAACGAGTGGAAAATACGAGTACAATTAAAGTCGTCACTAAAAGACTCCAATTAAACATCCTGTCACGTAAAAACAAGAAAAATCATATGAAAAAGTCTCATTTAAATCAAACATCTTTTTGCTCTCAGTCTGACATCCATCTTTGTTTTTCCCGGATAAAACACCTTTCTGGTTCAAATTAACCGAAAAAGTATAAAAATCATAAGCTTCAAAATATAGGAAAAATATATTTAATGCCCAATAACAAACACTACACTATCGACATCAAAAGTAAGCATAAACAAAAATCCACAACAATAAAACGGAATAATGACTAGGATCCGAAAGGATCTATCTCCGAGAGGTATACCTCCTGCATTAGCAAAATGAAGACTTCAGACTAAATCGGCTTTCCTTTATGATATAGAGCAAACAACAAAAGCCACTCGGAGGAAATCAAGACTGGCGACTTCCGAGCCAATAAAATATATAATACGGCGATAAATTCGTCTACGCGGTTAATATAAAGGTAGATTTTAACCTCCAAATGTCTTGAGGAAAAAACAAATCGTTTCTTTCTACTCTCTCTCAGTTTTATTATTCATGTTAGGAATACATTCATCGAGAGTTTTGTCTTTGCAGAACCAAATCGAGTTCGAAATTTTCATATCGTCATTTATATTGAATCGGAGGCGCTTTGTTTCCTGCGTGTACGTCTTGTTCCACATTTAGTGTTTTTTCTATTTTTTTTTGTATGACTCCGGTGTCCCCATTGCCATTATGTGCTGTAATTCCGCATATGTTGGCTGCAACCAGGCTTAAGTTGTTTCATTTCGACGAAGTCATCGTTTTGAATAAACACAATGGCCGTGGACGGACAAGCCAGATCTCGTACGTACAAATGGATTGTTCATGTTTTTCCGTCCATCATGAATGTTGACATTTCGTTATCGAAGATCTATTTTCGAAACGCGCGAACCGCAAATGTGTTCTTTCCAAATCAGTAGATTTTTTCAATCGGTCGATCGTCGTGGTTAATTCATAAAAATTTCTGCGATTGGCAGCCTCGTTATTTTCTAGAGAATTTTTCTGTTCATTTCAAGTTTATTCAAACTTGGATGTGTTTAGCGACCCGCTCGCTTTTGTATAGAACATCAAAGAATGAGAAGATGGGGAAAAACGGCCATTATGATTTCAGGTCGCTCTCGCGTAACACAATGAAACTATTAATTAAATGAAGAACACGGGATTATCAGAGTTTCACCCTTAAAGCTATTGATAGGAGTTACAAAACTTACAAAGCTGCTATCAACGTTGAAGATTTCGGTCAAGTTGAAGCTTTTTATTAATGGCGCAATTGAATTGATGCATCTTGCAGTCTTTGTTGTATAAGTCATGAGACTCGTTTGTTGTTGGCAATTTTTCTTTGAGTGAGTAAACACTTCGCTATTTTAAATTACTGCGCCATCTGTTTGACTTAGCGAAACGTATTGGATACGGCATTCAGACGGTAAGAAATTACAGAACAAGCCCTCGTACCGGTGTTGCAACCGCATGACGCCGCCGCCAGCCAAATCTCGGGGATCTAAGTGATTTATGAGGTGGCGCCAGACCGACCGAAATGCACGCACAGGCGGCGAATTTGCCGATTTTGAACTGGCGATAGATTTCGAAATAGACAAGGCAATCCACCTGACATGGCCTTTGAGCAGACCCATAAGAACCATTTAACACCATATAAATAAACCATAATCCACATACTTGCACTACTTTAATCAAAAAAAAAAAAAAAAAAATGTGGACCAAATATAATCCAAATTCGATAAAAAAATAAAAAAGTTGTTCGGATCAAAAAGGACGACCAACTCACTTACAATTTTATAACGAGTATAAGAAAAGATATCTCCAATTTTCCAAATTACTTTGGCCGATTTTCAACAGATTTGGTACTAGACGAGGCCTTGATCAAGCAAACATTTGTGACCAGATTAAAGAAAATCCATTAAATAATAGAAGAGTTATCCGATGCTAAAGCTACGATCAATTTATGACAAGTTAAATATAAGGTGATTCTTTTAGGGCCTATATTAGAAACTTTTTAACTTCTAATATAGACAGAAATGTGAAATTTTGTACATAACTCAAATCGACCAGTCTAAGTTCAATTAAATTATTTTCAAAATGGCTGAACTTTCGAAACTACGAGAAATTGGCGCCAACTTTGAAATTTTAAATGGTAACCACTTATTTTTATTGCATTTTTGAATTCTCCTCTCCAAACTGAGTAAAATTTACCTACTTGTTAGTACTTATCTGTCATAGTTTTTGACATATATCAATTTTTTGCTCAAAATTTTCATTTGCAGAGGTTTATTAAAAACATCACAGCTCTTGAACCGTTTGCGATAAGTAAATAATTTTTCTTGCATTTGATAAACAAAGATTCGAAGAGTTTCCTAAAATTTTCAAAATTGTCAACTGTCAAATTGCAAAGCTTATATGATTTTTTGAAAATGATATTGAACAAACAGCTATAACTCAGTTTTTTCAAATAAAATGACCCCATTTTCTCAACGGCTCTCGAAAGTACATCAATTTGTAGAAAGACTTTTATCAACATGTCCTATATATCCATCTCTTACAGTTTCTGAAATAATCACGAAAAACGTGTTTTTGTTTTTTATTTTTATAGTAAATCACGTAGGTTTTGGAAAATGATCAAGACATATTAAAGATTTATTAGTCTACACAACACCCATCCGGTATTACAAAGAATTGGGGCAAGGATTGACGCGGCATTTAATAATCTTCAACCAAATGAACTAATGGAAGCCACTCAAATTAGTTCACCATCGAGTTTTGGACTGTTTGAAAATAGTAAAGATATCGAACATCTGTATCAATTATGGTATATCTTATTCTATTTTTCCAAAGCCTACGTGATTAACTATAAAAATAAAAACATTAACATGTTTTTTGTAATTATCTCAAAAACTGTAAGAGATAGGTATAGGACATGTTGATAAATGTCCTTCTACAAATTGATGTACTTTTAATTGCCGTTTAGAAAATAGAGTCATTTCATTTGAAAAAACTGAGTTATAGCTGTTTGTTAATAATCATTTTCAAAAAATCATACTAGCCTTGCAATTTGACAGTCGACAATTTTGAAAATTCTAGAAAACTTTTCGAAGCTTTGCAAAAAAAAAAATATTCACTTATCGTAAAGGTTTCAAGAGCTGTGATGTTTTGAATGAAGTGAAAATTTTGATCAAAAAATTTACATATGTCAAAAACTATGATAGATAAGTACTAACAACTAGGTAAATTTTACTTAGTTTAAAGAGGAGAATTCAAAAATGCAATAAAAATAAGTTGAACTCAGACTGGTTGATTTGGGTTGTGTAAAAAATTTCAAATTCCTATCTGCATTCGGAGTTAAAAAGTTTCTAATGTAGACCCTAAAAGAATCACCTTGTATAATTGATCAACCAAACAAACGTTCCAGCAAAAGTTTGATCAAAATAAAACATCAGCTACATCGCAGTAATTCTACATAAGAATAATCAAAATCTTGATAATACCGCTTCTTTTAAATCCATCTTAGTTCAGCAAATAAACGAGCAATAAAAAATTGCAAACGTCGCTTTCCTGTCGTAACCACTCGCAATTTAAATAAATCAGAATCAAATTTCCGCCCCACATCATCTTTGTTGTCAACATTCTATGTAACATAAACCTCAATTATTTCTCTTAATTGCTCGTAAACAGCAAAATATGATCCTAATGAGTCTCAACAATGAAATATGGTCTAATTTCCATATTTATATTGAGGTGAAATTAAGAAAAAATGTGGCGCCACCTATGTGTATCCTCACGTAAACCTCTCTACGATCAATACTCAACTTACCTTAAAATGCGGCCGGCAAAGCAGATCTCTCAACTCTTGGAGATCCCTATGATCCGTATCCCTTCTATGTTCCAGTTCCCTGAGAGCGTCGGCGGCGTCTTTGGCCCTCTGTACGGCGTCGCTAGGTGGCGCCCTGATCGGTGTCACGACTTTACTCGCGATCCGGTCATACAACTGCAAACAAAGAAAGCACAGTTTTCTGTATGATCATTCCGTCGAATCCTACCAACAACCCGAAAATCGAAAGTACATCAACGGCCGTCGACGCGTTACAATGGAACAAATCCTGGTATTTATTCTTGTGTTTCATCGATATCGGACAGAAACGCGATTTTTGGAGGGAGAGGGAGCACTGGGGGTTGCGTGCTCGCCGCCGTGCCGTCGGCGGCGATCAATCGCGGGTGTAGAGGCCGCGAGCTTTCGTCGTGTACTAGGACATGCGCTTACAAGCTTACCTCCAGCAGAATGTGAAGATGGGTGTCCTCGAGCAGGGCCAGAAGGTGCGCGCGCTCTTGGGGTTGGGACTCTTGAAGGCAGGAGATATCGTCCAGCGAGTCCAAGATCGTCTGCACGGCTGCCGACAAACGAGCTTTTAACACACAATACGATGATTGATAGCTTAATAATAAAATGATACCCAAAATCGGCAACGCCTTCGAATCCTCTTAAACCAAATAAAAATTCCTACAACGAATTTGATCATCCAACAACCTGAATAATAAAACAGTAAGCAAAAATTCTATATTATTCAGAGATATTGAAACCAGGAGAATATTTTGAACCCTTGTTGGTGATTTGGACAAAATTTATTTTTACAGTAATTAACTTGAATCGTTTAAATTTAGATGCTGAGTTCCCTCGGAATAGAACAATTATCTCAACCATTTAATTTAATTTAATTTCATTCCGAGTATAACCTACACAAAGTGGAATAAATATTACTGTTCGACCCTGTATAGTTGAAAATTTTGCGTACATGATTTTCCCGTTTTAATTATTCCGGGTGTCGTCATTTACATTTATAACTCGGTTCTACCATAGATACAATTCTTTGTCGCCTCCTCCTCATCAAAATTAATTTGCATGTTTTAACGACAAAGAAAGTTCTTTATTGTTCCTTACCAGCAATTACGAGCCTCATTACTGGAAGGTTAAATCAAATAAAGGGTAGTTTACCATCGTTAAACATCTACTTTATATTAAAATTGGCTTGAGCGTATGTGAGATCACACCTCGGGGAATACAAGAGACGGTCAATCAGCTCTAATCCACCGACAAGACCTAGAAAAACCCGGAAAGGAGCTTTATAATTAAATCTACAAGCGACCGCTTTGTAACCGCAATACCCTTGCATTAGCAAAGTGCTCCCGACCGCAGGCCCTTTTTCCTGCCTCTTGGTTAAATAAAACAAAAGCGAAAAATTTTCTCCACTGTGTAAACAGTCTTAAAGAAAATCTCGTGATGACCAAACAAAATAAAACGTCCCTTTTTACTTGTTGCGTAGCAAACATCGATTCTTAAAGAGGGGGTGTGGAAACACTACAACCTTCAACAATTCGTGATAAATGGCCGCGTTCCCAGGACGTTTATGTAAGCACATCAACAGTTCATCCCGAATTGTTCCTATATTTCACGGGAATGAGACGATTTTACCTAAAGCGGAAGCCATAATCAAGCACGCAATTACCTCCGAAAATTGACAATCTAAATTTTTCGTCATTAAAAAAAACTTGACGTCCAAAACAAATAAGAGTACAAATCACTTACCGCACGCCGAGACTTCGTCGTCTCCGAAGTCCGAAAACGAGTCCGAATTCGTTTCGTCATACGGATACCATTTACTCGAATTGACCGCACTCAAAATCACTGCTTTTAATTTTCTCCTCGCGTTAAATTTTTTTAATTCTTCCACCGACTCGCCGAGATGAATCCTTAGTCCCTTATCGCGATCCTGTAACAAATCCCCTAACTCCAGTCGACGCATTCTTATCTAAACGGCCATAATTACCCTCAGCCATCTATGATTTAAAACTTCCTGTATCGTTATCCTCTGTTTGGGATCCACAGTTAACATTTGTTGTATTAAGTCTTTTGCACTATCACTAATGAGCTCCCACTGCGGCGAATCCAACTAGAAGTCGGCGATTTTTATAATTGCAGGAAAAATGTCGACTGTAACTCACGTGCAGTTTGCCACGGCAAATGGATTCCATCAGTCGACGGCCGCTACCGTGGAAAGGCAACACACCCGAAAGAAGGATATGAAGGAGGACACCCGCGCCCCAAATGTCCACAGGTTTGCCGTACAATCGCCTTTCGATCACTTCGGGAGCCATAAAACTGAGACATCCTACTCGGCCTGGAGGAGAAAATACGAGATTTGGGCGAAAGTGGACACAAAAACGTGGATTTGACTTGACAATTTCAACGTTGTTGAAAATATCAAGTGGAAACACAGTAGCGTGCACTGCGCAGCATATGAGATGATTAAGACAAAACAAATGAGATGGAAATTTGATCCTAGAAGTTAAGTCAATTTCACTCTAACCGAACCTTCTGAGATTATTAACGTAATATACGTTACACCAACTACAAACTAAGTTTGATAGAAGTATCTAAATCACATCAAGCATAGAATTTCCCATTGATGGTAATGAATCACTCAAAATGAAAAAACTCTCACTTTCGAGTCAACAATATTAAATTCGGGAAAACAATCTTAGCTCCGCACGTCAGAACTGTCGAGGGAGCACTCGTTTGAATATAAACTTTTCATTTCTGACAATACAAATCCGACTTTTGGCAAGTTTTGCATTTATAGATAAATATAATATGAGTATGAAGATGATGTGTGAACAGAGCAATATTTCCGGTCAGCGGATACAACGCCGCTAACAGACCATGAGCAATCACACCAACAATAAAGTTTGTCTGTGAAATACAGATAGTACTCACGATCTGTCAGTCGACGTTTGCGATGGTGCAAGAGAAGCGCTGGCGAGTGTGGCTTACCAGCTCTGTCAGTTTTTAGATATTGCTGACCCAGAGGACTGAGGTTGGTCCGGTATTCTGACACAAGGCATTCTGCAGGCCGCCAACATATACAATGTATGAATGCTTGTATGACACGTCGATGGCCGAGAGTAAGGCAAAGGTTAAAAACTAAATTCTATCACAAAAACTGCAAAAATCTGGCTTCTAATCGATTAGGTCTTATTTGGATCACCTTCAATGTTTTAAATTGAATGAAAAAACAAAAACATGTTCTTTCTCTCAAACCACTTGTAGAACAACAACACAGTCAGATGTACAACCGGTTTGAAAACATAGAAAGAAACAATTTCCGTGACATTACCATGTCTCAAACCGGTTTTGAGCAACAATTATCCCTTTGTTACTCGATACACAAATTATTTATTTTTATGATTGCTGCAATTCTGGCTTCAACAGTCAAAACTTTGCTTCTTTAATTAATTAACCGCCTCCCAACAATCGTTACTAATTAGCTTCTCGTGAAGAACCAGTATGCAAAATTAAACCAGCGTAAACTCAGGTATTCCCTCTTATTGAGCGAAATAACTAAGTAGGTCGCTTGTAATAATACCGTTCCACCTTCGAGCAGTCTGCATACATTTGAATACAATTCCCTAGCCCTCGACCATCGAATTATGATCGTTTTTCCCAAGCATCACGACGACCCAAAAAAAAAACTTTTTTTTCTTTTACTCTCAATTTCCAAGCTCCGCACTTTCGTTGTTTGTGGTTAATTCGATTGGTGAGCTGATAAGAAAGCGATGTAATGAATTTGTTTGGGTCAAATGGGACGCAGTTAAAATTGATATAGGGTGAGAGGAGGTTATAGACAATAGAAGCGAGCGAGAATTTTCTTCAGTTCATTTAGTTTTAGTGCAAAGTCTGACCCACTTTGCTTTTTCTCATGTTCGTTATCCGCAGCAACAATAAGTTCGAGAATCGAGCCGTCAAAGAGAAATTTTACACCAAACAAGCGTTTTTATTTAATGCTTGAAACTTCGCCGACTCATCGATCGCAAGTAGTAATTAATTTTCGTCTATTTATGTAAAGTCATGTCACAGTATTTTCCTCGTAAGCTCGACTCACTTTAATCTAGAATAAATTGAAAAATCACCATTGGAGTTTAGTTTTATTGCAAGCGCTGACTTGAAACTTTCAAGATATGTCAAAAACCAGATGGTAAAAAGTCTCTTTTCGTGTCGTCGTGATACGCCAGTGTAATAAAATTCAAAGTCTAAAAATTACGTGTAGCGCCCGAAAATAATCAAATTTAAACTTACCTCCCGGATTAGCCGGATGTCTATCGGGTAATTGGACGGCGACTCCAAAACCTCCAAGTTTCACAGGCGCCGAATTCTCCTTAGTGGCTAAAAGGATACATTCCGGTTTGATGTCCCTATGGACGATGTCGTTCTCGTGGCAGTACCGCAACGCCTCGAGGATCTGGCGCATGTAATGACTAAAAAGCCACAAAGTGATTTTTCGAATTGAGATAAAGCGATTTTATAGTCAATTTTAAAAATAAGACGCTATTAACCAATTTCACATACTCTGTAAAAAAAAGTTTTTCAAAATCCTCAAATGTTTATATTAAAGAACACTCTCTGCAAACATGTTTACATAAAAAAGAGCACGCATGAATCTCGTCAACTCCGCAGTTTGGTATTCAAAATTCAAGCAATAGACTTTTGCGTTCACTAGAAAAGAAACTTGAATTGCTCCAATGTGAAATTTAACTTTTACGTGTCAAAATTAAAATTAAAAAATGTATATTATATCAAAAATCGGATATTGTGTAAAATAATCCGGAGAATTCGCCTATGCAAGTTCATGTTTGGACGCACCAAGACGCTATCCAAATAAGAAACTAAACTCATATAATAATCTCTTCTTATTTCATAAAGATAAAATACATAATTTCATCTTCCATAATTTATCAAGAGCGCACAAAATGGTGAACATGGAATTTTGTAATATTTGAATCATTTTGTGACGTTGCGAATAGCGAAATTACGCAGTCCCGAACCAAGACCTTTTACAACAAAACTGTTACAAAATAGGCATTTGTGGGTTTTGCCGTTTTTTCAGGAAATTAATACGGTTGAATTGTAATAATTATCCGAATAAATTACTTATTTCGTGGTTCACTGCAAAAATATGTAGAAATGGTGCGCGCGTGTTGGGTATTTTCGAGTGCCTAATAGACATTTAGTAGTGCACGATATTTTAAATTTAGAGTAATTAGTGAGTGCCAATAGGGGAAATAGAGAAAGCAAGTAAGAATTTATTAAATTATAAATAGAAATTAATTGTGTTTTAAATAAGATTTTTATTTCCCAAATTCTCTTTGAAAATTCGTAAAGACGAAGGCAGGGTGAATTACGCTCAGTTGTCGAAATAGATATAAGGCTAATAAAAATCGCTAATCCTCAAGGTGAACTGCGCTCAGTAGGATCACATGGGGTACCCACCCATGGGTTGGTGCTTCAAAATTTTAGAAAGCACTTTTTCGGGTACACTCTGAGATGCACCCTATATTAAAAAGAATGCTTTACTCAAAAAAAAAAATTAAAGAGAAGCAAATAGATCGATCCACTTTTGTGAAATGTGTATCTTATAAGATTAAGTAAATTTTATAAAACACTGTTATGTAATGTACCTATACATGTTTGTGTTCAGTAAATGTAAATAATAACCTACTTCGTATTTGTTTATTTCGAAATGCAAAGTACACATTTGCAACTGGTTCATCCATATTTTCATTAGCCTGAAAATTTCATTTTTATTAATTTAATTCTTTACATCACACTGAGACACTGAGACCGACCTGAGCGCACTTCACTTAGGGAACGCAACGCAGGTAAGTAAAAATTTTCTGAGCGCAGTACACTATAGAAATTTAAATGCCTTGCTTGAAGTGAGCGCAATTCACCGGCACCCATAATTTTAACAAAAACTTAGACTCTTTATGTTTTAAGTAAACAGCAAGAATACATAAAAGTACCTTGTGGGCTGATTTAGAAAGCATCCTTAATTGCAATCAAATTTTAATTCGCGATTAATTTAATGTTTGGCAATGTAAAGTAACTGACAACTTAATTCGGATTACTTTAGTATTGAATTTATTTTTACTTGTTTTTTTTTTTTTTAATCGAATAATTAAAGATTTTGTAAACTGTCGCAGTAAAAGCAACTGGTTATGTGACTAGAAAATGTTGAAGTTGAAGTTCCCGCGTATGAAACAACATGCGAATCTACTGCGCATTCAACCTTCTCGCCAACTTATAAAGCGTGACACCGTCAACCCTGCCTATTGTTCGGCATTCCCGTCACCCTCGTTGTAAACGCGTTTAAATTTCCAAAATTCAATTATTTAAACTGTCGGCAATCTCTCGGAGATGCTTTCGTGTGTCGCAAAGACTAAAAACGCGCCACCACCGTTCTTATTCCCAAATTACACCTGAACATGTCATCGTAAAAATGTGAATTTCATGTCTGCCACAGCACGTCGGATAATAAATTCTACTTGCCTAGCTACAGCCTCACTGTAAACGAATCCCGAGGATGCTCTCCGTACCACTTCGTAACACAGGTCGGAACCGTCCATGCTGAAACAGGGTGATAAATGGTATTAGTACACGTGTCTCGAGCTAAGGTTGAATTGCATACTCGACTAACCTTGGAATATTAACAAAATGGCAGGATTTATGCGTCTAGGGGACTCCCCGAGATATAAAAATTGATAGCAGAGAAAAACAATTTGCATTTTTATTAAGAAAGCAGAAATCGATACTGCCGACCTACCGTAAGACCGAAACCTATGAGTCCCTAAATGTAGCAAAAATGTCGAAATAAAACCCAGGAACTCTAATATCAACAATTTCATTTCGACAATAATCAATAATTCAATCCTGGAAAGACTGAGCTATCACTCTCCCGTAGTGTTGATTGAATTCAAAGCTTTGCCTACTTTTCCTCGATCGATTACGCGAACATATAGCAAATTTTCGCTCGAGCGACCGCGCAAACTTTGTCAAGTCTGGGCACGTTTCCCCGAAAAAGACATTTTCATTATGTAAACAAAACTTACTATTCGAACACCATATATAACATCCCTTCGGACGAGTATGTTTCTAATAATTCGACTATATGCGGATGCTTCAACATATGACATATTGTGGCTTCTCGCTTCAAATCTGCAAACAGAAATAAATGAAGTTTCGTCAGTCTTGAACGTAGCGAGTGGGACATACCATCCGTACTAAGGCCAGGACTAGAAGTAAATTTGGCGACATCTACGATCTTCGCAGCAAATTGTTGACCGGTTTGGCGGTGAATACAACGTCTAACTATGCTAAATGGTCCCCTGGAACAAAAAAAAAATCGCCTCATTACGAACTGACCCAACTGGGAAACACGAAACTTTCATTGAGGAGGAAAACTTTGCAACCAGTTTAATGTCTCTTAAAAACAAACGACGATTTTATTACGTGTTGGAAACAAGTCAATAACGGCATACTCGTCAGGAGAGAACTTAGAGAAACTCTACAAACTTTTAATTTGATGATAATTCGCTTAAACGAATCGGGAATTACTTTCAAAGCAAGAGCTGTTATGAGTCTGCAAAATTTGTAATTTGACACTTATTAACGAACCAAACTAGAACAACTTGAAAATTGTCATTTCTGAGAAATAGAAAAAGATCACACAAACGATGTGACAGCTGAGGTAAATTCGCTTGTTCATTTTGTATCCGATAATGGAAAAGGAAATTACAATAAACGAACAATAACGAGTGACACTAATAAATACCATCATGTAAAATCTGGCCCCAAATATAGTATTTCAGTGTAACCCAAAGCTAATAAATCATTTACCTGTGAATAGATATGTGACGCATCAATTTTCAAAAGACCATCAAATCCTGTTCATTTTATCAGTAAATCAATCTGTCAGCGTCAGCAATATACTTAGCTTTATATTGTTTCTTGTGATCGATTCGTGGTGCTACAAGTGTTTGAAGAGCAAAATTACCCTTCCACAATTAGCAAATCAGAAAAAACTGTTTCAAGAGTGTATAGCAGATATTATTGATTACTTGATGATCAATAACCTCAGCTTAGATCATGTTAGTTCAGACTAATTGCTTCATTTACCAAATAATTCCAATCGGGATTTGTTAAATCATCACCGGGGTTAAAAATAGACCCGAGAATCCCGAGTTAATTCAATTTGTTGGTTATTGACGTTCGCAGAATTTGTTATGAAGATTTCAGACAAAATAGGTTACGTTTACTACGTCTCCGACACCGCCAACAGCAATCATCATCAAATGGGTGGAATATTGTTGTGCTTAACTCTTTAAAGTCTCCTTCAAAGACCATTTTAAAAACTGCGGATTGATACATCTGAGAAATTCGTAACTTCTTTCTCAGACTACGGCAGCATCAATTTGGGAAAACGTTAATACTACACGGAAAAAAATTCCAACTTAAAAGCGCCGATTCTGGAGAATAGCAAGATCAACACACCTCCTAACAAGAATTAAACTTACAAACAGTCAAGCTTAAATAATCAAAAAATAAATAAATTTTCAAGTTTGATGTTAATGATCTGTATGGTGCTGCCATGTCTGAAACTCTGCTTTAAAATAAAATTCATTGAATCATTAAAAAATGTTTATAATTGTAAATATGAAGTAGATTAAACCTAGATTATTGGACAAATGGTCATTTTGAAACACCTCTGATGCAATTTCATCACATATATCTTTTATTTCTAGTGGTACCTAGGCCCTGACGAAACATTTCAACTAAGTAATAATTCCGTTCCATCCGTTTCATAGCTCGCAAAAATCACACAAGTAGCATCAACTTCGCTTCTGTCCTGGATCCAAGCAAATAATTAAAATTTTAACGAATAATTCGACGGTTCCCGCGGGTACAGGTTTATTTAATAATGGATAATGAAGCAAAGTCAAGATGGCGCATCCGCCATTTCGCAATTGTCCCGATCCTAAACAAACGTTTATCTGATCCCTACCTGTTTAAATTTTATAATTCAACAAGCAAACAAACAATTTTGCCAGTTCTGGAAGCCTTGGAGGCGACAATATCCGATTGTGATTTTACGCCCTTCTTAATCTAGTCTGTAGAAAAAATACTTTTTAATATCGTAACAAGCAATCTTGGCGCGCTCTATGAATGAGCAATATTGGATTATATGGATAAAGTTTTGTTCGATGAAATTTTCAGGTTAAAAAACTCGATAGATGTGAAATTAGTTTTCGTTGCGATATTGCTACCAGTTTTGTGTTGACGTAAGAAATGGACAAGGCTTTTATTGAGGTATCTATTCCGTAATTCTGGAAACTTGAGATAAAGTGGCTGCTAAATAACGTAGCAGGACATTTTTACAAACAGAAAGTTTTCTGCTCCAGTTTCATAAACTTCTCAACCTCTACATTTTTCTAAGTTGTAAGTAAAAGTGTTTAACGCCACAAATCTTTGTTGGCTACTTTCCAAATTTATTTCAACCCAGCTATTAACTTTAATGATTCTAAATGTTCATTCTATTAGCAGCTTGTTGGAGTACTAGTAATATTTTTACATCTCTGACAGAAACTTTCTTGCTCCATACCATAAATACGTATTACTGGTCTTGATCTAGAGAAACATAATTCACCATTTGTATTTCTCCTATTTATTCTTTTTCTTGCAAAGTATAACTTCTTCAATTATCTTTTGTTTTATACCTTGACGCCATTTAAAATTTAATAATTAACTGTAAAAGAAATATCGTCAATAATGAGAAAACAATCCTAATAATCAATCTCAAGTATCATTACGTCCTCTCGTTACCAAAAATAACTCCACACAATATCGATTATGTTTCAACTGGACTTTCGCCAAGAAGGCAATTTGTTCAAAGTTGAACATGATTCCTTACAAAAAAAAACGTATTTTCTGCAAATACATTTACTTAAAGAGAATAAAACTGACTGCACAAAAGCTGTTCGTTAATTGAGATGAGTAATATTTCATCATCAAATACTAAGTTTTACTTTTTGTATCAAGAAAAGCCTTCAAATCTAGAAACTCATTTCAAAAACACGGATACTTCGAGAAAAAATCTTAAAGATACTCTCAAACTTTTATAAATGTTTTTCAGTTCTATTATCACCTGAGGATGACCACTTTGTGGTTGAAACGCGTTGTGTTTTAAATAAAAGTTTGGTGTGATGGGTCAATCGTGTTTTTGTTCATCGTTTCCATACCAAGAAGATCCAAGAAGAAGTACAATTCCAAAACATGACAAAAATTTTACTTAGTTATCTTTTTTAAACAAAAAAAAATTCGAAGAAATATGCACTAAACAAAATTTATGTTTTAAATATTTATGTTTTAATATTAGTTATTTATTATTTAAGACAATAAAGAAATTGTTTACCACGAGTAGATAAACATAGATAAACAATCTTTATTGTCGTGTATAATATTTAGTTTTATTTTGTACTCACCTACCAGAATCTCTTGAATATAAATAGTAGATAAAAATTACTTTATTTCACTAGACGATAACAGACTACTTTATCTACTGAAATTAATTGATAAAAGCATGCTTTAACATTACATACAAAATAAAAATAAAAATAACTAATAAATAAAGAGCAATAATATTAAAAAAAACTAAATTTAAAAAATAAGAGTAGGTAAGTTTTCTCTAATTCATTTTATAACCAAAAATGTTTGTAAACAACAAATATTAAATTAAAATTATTGCAAAATTGAACATAAAAAAGTATAAAATAGGAAAGTATTAATCATAAATCCTTTTCATAAGATCCTTTCCGTTACTTTTTACTTTAGAACTTTACTTTAAATTTTATTTATGGTTTTGAAAGCTTGCATAAGCCACTATCGACAAATTAAGGTTTCACATAATGAAAAAAAAGTTCTCAAAAAAATCGCTTAAAAAACCTAATCCGACATCAAAGTGACCTTTCTTTTCTTTCTGTAAAAATTCATCTACGATCCTCCATTGTTGCTGAACAAATTTTTCATCATTCCTCTATTTAAACACTTTGTAGAACTTTCAACTCTTAAAAGCAATCAAAATCTTTCTTGCACTTAAAAATTTAATATCGTCCACTTGATAAGAAACCAATCTTAGAAATCAATCCGAGTTTCCAACATTAATTTAATTTTTTCTTTGTAAATTGTGGTAATTACCGATGGAGATTTTTCTCTCCCACAATCCGCTGCTTATTAGCTCGATCTTATTGCAACGTAAATGTCTGGTAAACATGGAAAAGTACATAAAAGCTGCGAATAAAATACTAAATTACTCCCGCACCGGGTCTCGAACATCCATCCGCCAGTAAAACTTCTTTCAACTTCCTTCTTTCTTTAGCTCTCTTTCAGATATGTATTAATTCTTTTTCCCCTTGACGAAACGAACACGTTCTCAAATGGAATAAAAGAATTTGTGTGTTTGTTGAAAGTGATGAATAATAAATCCGTTGCTCTTTTCACCTAGTGTCCAATCAATTCCAATAAAACTTGCTCTCGAGTGCTAATAAATGATATTTTATTGGCTCCGACACAGGCCAATTAGGAATAGTTCGCAAAAAGTCAGATTAAAAGCCATACACGAAAATTACTAATTGAATGAATTTTTAAACGGAAACCCACTCAAACTGGAACGGGAAAAACGTAAAAAAGAAGATGGAATTTTTAAACGATTTAAATTAACGTGTCAGCGGCATAACTGCAATTCTAGAATTATTATAGAAGAAAATCCACGACTGGAAATACAAAAATTCAAATGAAAAATAAAAATTCTTTTTTCTCGTTGTTATTGACGCCAAAATTTGTCATTAATTCTGTTGATATACTATAAATTGTTTAGTTCACATTACTTAAAATACGTATGTGCAAATGTTTGCTTCGTTATGTTGGTTACAATGTTACAATTCATGAAAGCTTTTAATCAGTGTGTAGAAAGTTTCGTGTTGAAATTAAAAGGTTCAAAATGTGAAATATTTATTTTATTACACAATAGAAATTCGAGGAGATAATAATAATGTTGTAAATCCCTTTTTAGTTAAGTCAATGTACGCAAATTGGCAAATTTTCATTTTTTCATAACTCAATTGTTTTAGTTGTGTTTAACATTCTACCATTTTTGATTAGATCATTTTTAGAACAAAAAAATTAAAGAAAACTAAACATCGTTTGATAATTTCTACACGCTTGTAAGTATTATTTTTACCTAACATTTTTTAATTAATTTCTTTCATAAACTATTATAAAACTGATGATAAGTCGTCATTACTTACACTACTTTCTATTATTATTGTAATAAACACTAATTGTAACATAACAGTATATTATGTTATTAGAAATAAAAGTGATAGTTTATGTGGCGAAGATAAACGTTTATTTTGCCAAACGCAGTGATGCAAAAAATGCAGCTAAGCTAAGTTTATTGATTAAACTTTTGCATGACTAGTGCAGTTAGTAATAGAAAATTTCGAATGCAGATGATCTACAAACTCTTAAGCGAAAATAGGGAGTTTTTACTCCACGTCTGAAAGGTAAAACTTTTACTTGTGTCATTTAGTCATATTTAGGTGGGAAATAGTTGAGAAATAGTGAAATATATTTGACACGAGGAAAACCAAAAGAAAAACATTATTAAGATTCAAAAATTACCGTAATCAACCTTACAAAACGAAAACCATAGAATAAAATAGAAAAACATAAAATACCCTTTAAACTTTAAACGTCGTAAAACCGAGATCATGTAAATAAAGAATATACAATGAAATCAGCTATTTGCAGCTAACATATGAATAATGTTCAAATATATATTTTGAAGAGCATAATTCGTTAAACCACTTACTAATTGCAATTTTTTGAAGACTAACATAAAAAGTCTCTCATCGACCTGCATTATTTGCACACAAATAGATTTATGCAAAAATAGATTTTCAAAATTCGCATTTTATTACGTGCTCTGGACAATAAAATTCTCAGACTTCAAACTAAACTAAGTTATTTTAAAATGTAATAAGAAAAGAGAATTGAATGATAAGTTTCAAACTGCATAGTGTACAGTAGCTAGCTAGCATTGAAATAATTAAATTCATAGTGAATTAATTAATTCACGGAGAAAATTAGACTAAGCTGTAAAATTAAATCAAGAACTTGCCGTAATAATTGTGAAATGATAAATCTTCAATTAGGAAACAATAAAATTGTGTAACAAAGAGCGTAATTGTTTTCCGTTTGATTTGTGGTCCATAATAACTTCAATGTCTCTTGCTCGAAAGTATTACGTCTAACCAATTTCGCAAATTAAACTCTAGTTGAAATGAAAAAAACCTCCATAAAAACCCTCTGAAAATAGAGGGATTCAACATAACTTCTCCAAAATTTGTATTTAAACTTTTACAACTACTACCGTGCGATCAAAAAAAAAAATTAGAGTAGGCGTCGATTAAATTCTACAGTTGGCAAGACATTGGCTGGGAATCTGGGCTGGAAATTTTCAACACAAACTGAAAGTGAAAATGACCATTTACCGTTTTCGTCCTGTACAACATTTTTGTAATAACTTGCAACAATAAAAATCTTCTGCTCTAAAGTGAACATTATTTCACTCACAATGAATACAACGCAAACTTGTCAAAGTTTTCGCTGACATTTAATGTCAAAAATCAGGATTGCCATCTGAAGGACTTTAATCACCGCCTACTCTAATTTATTTTTTTTATCGCACGGTACTAGTTATTTAGCATTCACGTATACCTCAAAAAATTGATTTCAATACATCATTTGTATGCCATCACAATAATAAATTTTCGTCCCTTTTGAAATCAAAAATAACGTAAGATTTATTAAATAATAATTATTATTATTAAAAAAATCAAAAAAAAATTGTACCTTTACTAAATAATTTGAAAAAAACATATACAACATCATTAGTATCATTAAACAGACATAAAAAAATGTGAAATGTCAAAAAAGAAATTACAATTTTTGAACAGAGAATTTTTTAAACATTTTTTCCATGTTCCTGGTATCTTATCTTACTTAAAACATTTCTCTGGGGCGCAAGTTCTGACACACCCTTTATAATACAAAAATTTCGACAATAACCAGACCTCTGATCAAAAAAATTGTTGTCATTCAATAAAAACAAGGTAATGCAAATAATTTCCCGACAATTTTGTAAGTAGAAAATTCCCAGTGTAATTGTGTTTTGATTGGCTAAAATTGACCCAAATAACCGAAACTAAAAGTTTCTTTGTATTGGTTTTTAGACAGATAAAAAAATTATCCCATTTTTATTATGTTTTTAATAAAAACACTACATTTAAACATCAAAAATACTTCTTAGCATTCTAATTTTCTTATTTCATTCTAAACGTTTACGATAAAAATTGTATAATTTTATATTTGTAATTGAGCCACCAAACAGCAATAATAACAATCATTGTTTAAATAGAACTAACATTACTAAATAGCAAAACAATAAAACAAATGTTTCATGCAATTATTCTTATCACATAAAACAACAGTAACTGATTTAAATAAAAAAACTAATTAGCCAATTAAGAAGGTTTAAATGACGTCAATAACTACAAAAACAATAAAGTATATTTAAATCTTAGGTCAATGATGGTCAATTACTGTAGGTGCAAGTGTCAAAATTCCCGTGTGACATTTATTTCGATGTCATTCTTTGATCACGGAAATTTAATATGACAGATTTCACCCTGTAGGTATTACAAGACCATTTCTGTTCCAAATTTTAATAAAACTAGTTAAAAAGTAAAAACCTTCATTAAGTAATTTGTCAAATCGTCGAGGCCTACTTATACTTATTTATTTCTACTGACTGTCAATTTTTTGGATTTGAACAAGAAAAATGCTTTTATTTAGATTTAAAGCAAGTTTAAGCCTCATTGAGTCTAATTCGAAGAATAAAATGTTGTATTCAACTCGTTTGAGTGTAAATCGGACGCTTTATTTCACCTCGTGGATGATAAACCACTCGTGGAATAAATAACAATTTTTTTATGACACACATACACTGGCGGACACGGAATTTTGGACAATTTGTCATCCGACTGACATAAAAATGTAAAACGGACCTTAGGCAACTAACCTCACTTTTTGTTTTTATAATTTTTATCCTGTTAGTTATAGAAAAAGTGATAACAAATCAAAATAATTTATTAAACTGATATAAAAACACGTATTGCTGGCATTATTGTTTCGGAAAATCGACGCCAAATATCAATTTCAACTAAAACTTTTAAATTTTAGTTTCAAACGTCAATCATAATGACAATAAAGCGTGGCTTACATTGACATTTTTTGAACTGACATAAATTTGATGTCCAAAATTCCGTGTCCGCCAGTGTAATTTAAAGTGCCGTGTTTAATGAAATAACAAGTAATTTTTTTTATTGGTGAATTATTGGAAAACCACTGATTAAAACCACTCAATCCCTGCATTTTATAATGTATTTTTAATTCAGTGATTACAAAAAATAAACCTGGCTTGCCACCACCCAATTACCACAATTCACCGCCCAATTTCCACCCTACCCGCGAACTCCGGCCCTGCTCCAGCACGCCACCCTCGTGTCAAATGCATTTTAACGCTCCATCAACCCCACAAAGTGACCACCCCAGCCCCCTTACCTTCCGATCTCCTCGCAGAGATCGTAGACGTCGTCGAAGAGAACTTCCTCGTCGGCCATCGTTAGACCATGCCTGTGGGGCGGCGACGCCGGCAGCTAGGCAAGCAGTTCAGCACAGGCCCATCCGGGTTGCCTACCACTGGCGGCGACCGACTCGGGGGCGGCGAACGGAACTCCGCAAACAAACACCACAACAATCGGACGTTTTCACCGCCGCACGACGCACACACCCAACAACACGCTAATAAACAGCCACAAACTGACAGCTGTGACAGGAACAGGCGCAACGCCGGCCGGGATAACGCCTAAAACACATGCGCAGCGTCGCGCCGCGGATTTTAACACAACGGACCAGCTTTTTAACACCTCGGAATGGGTTTGTTTGGAGTTTAATGACTGATTTAGATACCGGTGGGTGCGGCCAACTGGAAACCCGGTCCTGGTTTTTCACACGCAAATGTCAGTTTGACAACTTAACCTTGTTTCACACTTTGTAAATCCAACAACGATTTTAACCCAGCAAAAGGTATTCAGATCAGGGGTTTTACGAGAAAGGTGGAGCATTCATCGGTTTCCGGGGACGAGTTTCATTAATAACGAATTTGATTAATTTTCGATGGGATTTGACAGGTCGGAATGGTGCCACAACAAAGCCATGAAAAAAAACTAAATTGGTTTGAAGTTTACAGGACCGGCTCTAATCATCGGCCCGATTTTATTAATTATCGGTTTGAAAAGCTGGCGTCTCTTCAATACTATTTACTGCATGTAATTACTTTAGGTTTAATTGGGTCGAAACCAGTGGCGTAACGAAGGATTTCCGCGTTAAAACAAATACACTTTTTGCAACAAAAATTTATTCTGGATCGTATACACGTCATGTGCACTTGACTATAAGATAACTCTTATAACATTAAAAATAAATAATTTACATCTAAGCGGTACTAAAAATAAAAAACATGCGTTCACACTAGAAGGGAGTCAAGGGAATTCATGGTCTTAAACCTTACAATTAAATGGAATTCTAGTCATTATAACAAACTTAAAGTTCCTGTGATGGCATTAACTTCCTCTTCATCCCCAAAAACACTCAAAACTGTGACAGACCCTGGCGGTATCTGTGTGTGACCAGCATCTGACACTAAATAACACGGAACATTCATTTCTTTCGCTTTATTAAACAACGCTTCTAAATGCTCGGTATTCTCCCCCTTGAGAATAATTTTCTTCTCCCTAAAAACCCAACTCACCCATTGTCAACCACAAAAACTCCCACTTTACCCAAAATAATCCCACTCATTCAACGCATCCTCCCTGTCCCCCGTTATCCTCATCTCTCTATACAGCCCCAAACACGCGTGTGCCACTTGCGCGGCCGTTTTGCCGAGCCCCATTTTCAGCGCTGTGTTTACCACAAATGTCATTTTGTACCTCTTAGGTGACTCGTCGACGTTGTTCTCGGCGCCAGGGGGCACAAGATTTTCGTCATCGTTGTCTTCGTGGAGTAAATTCGTAAAGACATAACTCACGGCCGCTTCTACTGACTCGTTACCGGTACAAAACAAGGCCTGCAAGAGAGAAATCAAAGAGGAATTAGGGGCTCAATACACACTTCTTGGGCGTGGTTTTCCGAAATGCCCATAGAGATGAGGGCCTCGAGGTACTCCTCGTTAGGCTGGAACTTAGCGTAGGGGCGATTTGTGGCCTCCATACTGTGACTTGAACATAACCTCACTTGTCAAAATCTCACACTAAGCGCTGACGCTTCCCCCCTCTCATTCCCGTTTTACAGCCAGGTTCACACTTGGAAAATTAATAATATGACTTATGACTAAGTCCCTTTTTATATTTATGCGTTTGGATCAATTAATAACTCGAAAGACGTACCAAATAGCTATTTCTTTTCAACATTTGTAAACAGCCCTATTGCTCTCTCGCTAAGTATTTGCGTAAGGTCGGTCACGCTGTTTATCTCACTTTAACAAATGTGATTAAAGTAACACAGAGCTAGTGACGTACGTCAAAATTGTGGTCTCACCGTCACATTTGGAATTAAAGTTTCGGGTAGTATTTTTCTGTCACTTCACCGTAAAATACCCTTTACTGTCATCATAACTGACATTTGACAATTAAACTTTTTTTATTAAGAGTTAATTAAACAATTTGTCTGTCTCAGGAAATTTATTAATTGAACTAAGTGTAATTAAAACATCGCTGTGATCTGCTGCCTACCCGTTATTATTTTTGAAAATAAATAAGTCAAAATGACATAAACATAACAAGAGTAAAAAATGAGGTTATTAATGTAAAGGTTGTTTTAGAGTTTACATTATGAAAATGACGGACGCATACAAAATTGTCCAAAGTAAAATAATCTAAAGTAATTTTATCCCAAGTAAAAGTGTCCAACGTAAAATAATCCAATGTAAATTGGTCCAACATAATTTTGTCCACCGTAAAATAATCCAACGTAAAATGATGCAAGGAAAAATCAGCATCCATGTCCACCGTAAAAAAGTCCAACGATTTAGGAACATGTTTGGGTGTTGGCAGTATTGACGCAAGAATAAAAAGAAAAATTGACTGATATCAAACGAATGTACAGAGTGGTTATAAATGATTTTCATCTAGCCAGCTTTGGAATTTTTTTGCATGTAACTTTATTTGTGCCGCTCTACTTTTTTGAAAGCTCTAGTTCTGTCATTAGTGTCACTTATTAATTAATAATAAATTGTTGTTAATTAAATTTTTATTGTTTCAACTAATTTCCAATAATAATTGATAATAATGTATACTTT